AGAGCGAGGTCCAGTCTAGTTCATCTCCAGTTGAACGTCCAGGGATGTATAATGGGTACAGCAGTGAAGGGGAGACCATGTACTCCGCCGAGACTGCCGAGAGTCGAAACTACACAAGTCCAAGAGAAGGGAAGTTTCAGCAAGTGGGAAAGAGCCAGAGTTGTGTGGGTTACACAAGATGGGGAGTCGTTCAAAGAAACCCAGCAGCTCGCAGGGCATTTCTGGAGAAGCAGAGGAGCTTTATACATGGAAAGAAGACTTACTCACAAGGGGCAACTTCTCAAAGAAGTAACGACTACTACAGCCCTACGGTTTCTTCAATCATGAAGAACAACTCAGAGCAGCCACCAGTCAAACAACGCCAAAGCATCGGTCATTCATCCCCGAGATGGCTGTTTTAATGGTACCAAAATGATGCCAAAAAGCCAACAACAAATATATATGCGAAAATGTATTTCATTATTTGCATTTAGTGCAAACTAATTTGTTGTGACACTGTGTAAACTGAATCAATATGAAAAAGAAAAAGATTCAGCCACCATACCTGGTTGTAGTTCTTATCATTGATCCAAGCAGCGACAATGGTAATACGATTGCATTTTCAGGCACAATTTTCTACTAAGTAGCTTTGACAGCGTCTTTTTATGCATGGTCCATGGATGAAGGCTGCATTATCACAGCAGTCATTGCCTCGTAAATCAATGAGAACTGGAATGGGTTATGCTGTTACAGGTTTCATTGAATAGGCCCATTAAGAGTGTCAATTAGGGGGATTGATATCCAGTTTAGTGAATTTGCCCTAAATAAATGGATGTTCACATTACCCTTATATCCATCTCTCCAAAACTGCCCTGCTGCTGCAACTTAAAAAAGCTCATCTCATGTTAGAGTAAAATTTACTAAATGTTACACCTCTACCCAGAAGGCTCGATCGAGCAAGATTGGGTCCTTCGTAAATCAAGACATAATAACAACTTACCAGTCGACTATAACCATTTTGAACCACAAACTGTATTAGTTATCATGCAAGTTAAGGAGAGGCATTGGTTACTTATGGTTCAAGGTAACTTTTCATACTTTTGCAAAGATTTTCAAAATTCAAATGTTGGTAGCGATACCTAGGATTGGTATCCTCACTAGACATGCTACTGAGTTGGGAAATTTCAAAGATTTTAAGTCATGCTATCAATACCCAAAATAAAGGTATCGGTTAGTATCAATATCAACCATTTGAGTATCAATATTGTATGAAGATTCGGGTTTACGGGAATTTCAAAATAAACTGCTCCGATAATTACCAAAAAGATTATCCGCTCAAACAGAGTTTAAAGCTACATGTCAAATGTTCCAATATTCAGAGAAGGAATTGCTTAACCAGTGCCTACAGGCATTAGTTAAGGCTTATTTAATTATTAACCCTGGTCTTTTTCTTCCTTTTTCGGCCAAAAGGCACTAGTTAACATTTCCCTTCAAAAATCTGTTCCATTGACATGCCAACTCCGTTCAAGGACAGTCTGAATTATCCCTGAAATAAAACAACAATCATCATCAGAACATAATTTAAAATAACAGATAATAACAATCCCAAAGCTGCTGCCATATATGAAAAGACTACGGGAGATCATCAAGCTCTGGTACGGTGGTACCACTACAGTGAATAAAATGCTCTAGATAATGCCCCCGTTTATGAAAATACAGGGTTGAATCCCAAGCACAGGAGAAAGAATATATGCATGTCTTTGACAAATGGAGTATTCTTTGTACAAACATGATTGATAATTCACTTTACGAACCTATGATTTTATTATCTTTCCACTAATGGAAATTTAACCTTAAAATAAAGATATAGAATAGTAAGCTTACATTACTAGTTGGGCATACAGCTCATCTTTAACTGGATGATGGAAGGAAGACCCTAATTAGTTCCTTCATGGTGACCTTTTTCCTGCAAGTTGGGCATCTTCCCTGCACAGCTAATGCAGCTTTAATGCATGCCTTGCAGAATATGTGCCCACACCTTGTCGACATCTCCTCAGTAAATGAATTCATGCAAATTGGACAACTGAAAGATGGTTCCCTTGGCGGTGGTTGCAGCTTTACAATTTCCTTGACCTGCCAATAGAAAAGTTAACGATACTTAAAAACATTCATAAATTCAATCAAATGCACCAGTCAATAGAACACATGGATGGACAAAAATAACAAGAGATGTCCAATCACAATGTCTTAATCTGATGACCAGCCATAGTCGTACATTCTTTCCTCGAAAATATTAAATTACATCTTTTGAATAATGAACTGATGCAAGAGATCTTACAATAGACTGTGGTGTGCTTTCCAAATTAATGTAATGATCACAATTGATAACTGTTTGGCTTGGAAGAAATCTTCTACGTTTGTTCCGATAATTAGTAGTTGACCAAGCCAGCTGCCCTGTAAGGAGAGAGATGTGAGATACATCAACTTCAGACAAAGAGTAATCTAGGGTTCGAAAGATAAATGAATGAAACAAAGAACCATCATTCTCTAAACTGGTTGACCTGGGCAATCTCATTAGTAACATAAAGATTGGACTTCACCAGAGTGTTGCCAAGCAATAGCTCTATCTTTGTTGAGGTCATATATTTCTTCTATTCTAGCACTTGAGCCATTGGCAAATAATAAACCCCACTTCAAAAGTCGCAAACCAAGAATAAGGGCAAACAGCTATCTGCCAAAACTAGAAATTTGTGTATATACTACTATATCCCCTCGATAAACTAGTACAGACTATAGAGAAATCAAATACATTAGTACATTACATGACTTTACTGCTCATTGGTCACTAATTCTTAATAAAAATCATCCTTTCCAAAGTATCTACAGTTTATTTCAATTTTTAGTGCAATTCACAAAAAAACATAATTTCAATCCATCAGCTTCTTATAATCACTTCAAGGCAGATTATGTCACCTAGATTTTCACTTTGATTACATTGTGTTGGTTAACTGGAGTGTGATTATTCTGTTTCGAGTTTTCCCCCCTTTTAGAAATTCATCTGCAGAAAAGACATACAGGTTCCTTCCCTAATCTTGTTAATCATTTGATATTTATGAAACAAGAAAAAATGAACTGATGATTGAATAATAAAAAGCACCTGAACAATGAAATTAACAAGGAATATTTTGACCTCATGTAGATAAATAGAATGAATTTACAAGGTGGAATGGTGCATCAAAACAAGCTTTTGTCATAACATCGTTCTACTGCAACATGATGGAAATATTGTAAAACGTCCTTCCCACATAAATTAAACTACCTGAATCCACATCAACAACAGTCCTTCTGCTGCTCCTCAAATTATTTTTAGCCTGACATAAAATCCCAAGACAATTAGTAACACCCATGATTGAAATGAATCCATAAAAAACATATTTCACATACAGTTAAAGGGAAGAAAAAAATTATTGAACAAGAGAAGCAAACCTCTGCAAATGCTGTAGCAGAAGATTCAATGACATCATCTTCAATAGCTTCAACATCAATGGCATCAGGTGGTACAGGTTCTATGGGATGGCTGGTTTCTTCCTCGAGGTGGGGCTGTTGTGAAGTACCACCCTGTTCTCTAATATCACAGGGTGGAGAATTTAGATCCAGCACCATCTTCCTTCGACGATACCCTCTGAGAGGAGTGCCTCCCGTTTCAATAGTGTTCATGTCAATTTATAATTTTATATGCACTTCCTAAATACCACAGCCTGAATAAAACCTAGAAGGCAGCTAAAAAAAACAACTTTCTCATATTAGTTCACCATATATATAATATCAAGCTTTCACTAAACACAAATCAGTTCAATATGGTTAGTAACACCTCCAAGGTGAATGAGAGATATTTAAGCATATATATAATTCACAAAGTTTGCTACCCAAAAACGAGTTGAAACTATTGATTTCATCTTTCCAGTTGGATTTTATTTATTAAAAAAGAAATTATGAAAACCTAAAGGATAATGATCAAGCACTTGACACGAAATCATTATTTTAGAAAGGGAATAAATTTAATCAAAATTCAAACTCGAACTACAGGCCCAAAAGAAAAGCTATTAAGTATAATAAACTAATAATCGAATAAAAATTTAAAATTTAAGAAAATTTATCGAACAGGCCATTGTATCCTTTAAAAAAATTCCCGAAACCGAAGGAATATGAATCAACAGTAAAACCGATCCATGAATGAAAGCGAATTGAAATAAGAAAACAAATTGATAAGAGAATTAAAGAGAGTTGGGAGATCAAAATCTTGCCTTGGAATCCTGGGCTAAATCCAATAGCCTTCAAAATTTTCCAGACAAAACAGAAAATCGAAGAAAACAAGCGAAGCCCAGAAACCTACCGAAAGACTTCCCTGTTAAGGGTTTTTAACAAAGTAAATTTGAGAGTGACCGCAACGCACAAATAGTGGTGTCATGCGGTTTGAGTTATATCATGTTTGAACTTAAATTATTGGGTAAATTCAATGTATTGTCACAAAACTGTAGGAATGGTTTCATTTTGATCACCAAATTAAAACAATTATCAATCATATTATTTAACTATTTAAAGAGTATTATCCTAACGCAAATCAAGCGAACTCGGTAGTTAAAGAATTGTTATTATCCCTTAAAGTTTTAAGTATTATAATTGCAAGGGTGATGTTTATTGATAAAAATACCAACATGATAATGAAAAAATTTATATACGCAAGACTAAAATTAATTTTATTATAAATTTTACAAAATATCAGATGTAATATATGTTACTTACACATGAAAATTCAAGATTTATATAAAACAAATATAATGTCACTATAACTTTAATTTTGAATATGATATTAATGCATGATAAATGTAATAATTTAAATTTAAAAAAATTACTTTAGATTTCACAAAAAACTATATGAATTTTATAATACTTTGAGAAGAAATTAACAAGAAAGTAAGAACCAAAAAGAAATCATCCAGATTAACAAGGTGGCAGTAAACATGGACATTGAGCTTGATGCTGTTAAAAATTGCAGAATTTCTTGCATGTTTAAGTTTGTCGTGAGCATACTTAGTAGATATACTCATAATCCAAGTGATGAATATTGGGTTGCTCTTCGACGCTTACTCAGGTATCTTAAGGGTATGATGTATTGGAAACTTGAGTTTGTTTGCTATTCTGCGATTTTAGAAGGATATTGTGACGTCAACTGGGTTTCTAACAATGATGAAGTAAGCTCTACGAATGAGTATGTATTTACTTTAGGTGGAGTAGCGATCTCGTGGAAGTCTGCGAAGCAAACCTATATTGCTCGTTCCACTATGGAGTCAGAGTTTATAGCTCTTGACTTAGTTGGGCAAGAAGCAGAGTGGCGAAAATTTATTAGATGAAACTCTGTTGTGGGGAAGATCGACTCCTCCAGTCTCCTTCTTGTGTGATTCACAAGATGCGATATATGTGGCCAAGAACCAAGCTTACAATGGTAAGAATAAACATATTTGCATAAGACATGAATCTGTTAGACACTTAATAAGGAATGAAGTACTATCTTTAGAGTATGTGAAGTCGGAAAGGAACATAACAGATCTGCTTACCAAAGGGTTAATCAGGAAACTGGTCCTAGATTCGTCAAGGGGGATGGGTTTAAAATCCATTGGTTGAGGAATTCGTGATGGATATCCATCTTAGTTATCTAAGTTTGATGTGGTCAAACGAAACCATAGAAAGACTCACAGTGTACATTTTTACATACCTATCCCTATAACAAACAATGTACATGCACAAGATGAGTTTGATTGCTTTTAATAAATTAATAGCCCAAGCTCTGGGTAGTCTTAGTGAGAAAGACTTGTTGAATTTCCAAACCTGGCTGGATATCCATTCTTAATAAGTTCATAACTCAGAGTTGAGTGTGTAGTCCTAATTGAGAAGGACAAGATGAACTTACCGCTAGAAAAGTTGAGTTTTATATATAAAAAAACTCTTAATGAATTCAAATCCAAGAGTTTGGATGATCCTACTGAGAATGACATATTGAATTCACCGATTAATGAGGTTGAATATTTATTCTTAATGAGGTTGAATATTTATTTTTAATGATTTCTTATTCAGAGTATGAGTGGTTTATTTATAATGAACTTGAAGAAAATCACCATAACCTTTGAGAGGTTGAGTTCCTGTAAAAGGTTCTTAACTATTTCATAGCCCGATTTTAGGGTGGTTTATGTTGAGATAAATCTGATGAAATAAGCTACGTAAGTGAGAAGGATTAGCCACCTTCTATGAAAAACGTTGGGTCATCTTTCTAATACACTTACTAGAATCATGAGGTAAGATGGCCAAATATACACTTGTGTACATATATCTTGCACATCGAGGACTTCGGTGGATAAAGGGTTAGTTGTGTGTTATGAATTTACCCTTATCTTATAAAGTTCAAGACTAGTTTCACTTCTCTAAGAGAAGAATTGCTCATCATCACTATGTACTAGTTCAAGATATGTTCATTAGTGCTTAAGCAACTAATTCCGCTATTGCTCTTCTGAGAAGATTATTTTTTGAGTTTAAGAAAAATTATTTCGCATTAGTGGGGGGAATATTGGTAATGCGTAAAACATTATCCCACATTGAGTGGGAAATACTACTGGGCTTGGGTATTTATAATGTCCATTCTTCCTTCCTTTGTTGAATGATAAAGAACAAGGGAAAATCTCACGTGATGTCGTCATCGTCATTGTCGTCCGTCCGTGGACGTGGTCGAGGCTCGTGGCAATACGGGTCTTCGACACGTCCTCGTGGATTCTATCTTTTTGGAGAAAATTCTTATTTTATTGAGCATAAAAAAAGATCGTTAAAGAATTTTATGATATTTGTAGGCTGCAAAGTGTCCTGGTTCGATTTAAATTTCAGAGGGTAACAACTGATTAATTAGTTATTAATTTGATTTCTGAAAATTTATAATCTGAATTGTTAGTTTCTGAAATTATGTCTAGGAAATATTTCAACTCTGTTCAAAGTGTTTATTGTGCCAGTTACAGAGTAATTACAAGAGTTGCAAAGTGTAATTACATGAGTTATAAACGGCTGGAAATTAAAGGACGAATCTAAACTGCTTTAAGGCCAGATTCATTCGTTTATAACAACAGTTTCAAACAATTTAAATTCAGAAATTAATCAGATTTATATCTGATTTTGTTGTGGGAGATTTTACCCTTGAACTAAACTTATAATTAGAGAGGCTTTCTGAGCTTCTCAACTTTCACAAATCCTCTCGATCTAAAGCATTCCAAACTTCTTTTCTATGTTGCTATCAGAAGAGCAGTACCACCGATAGTGATTTTCACTGCGACACAGTTTCAATTGTTCATTTGTTAATTATATTTTATTTGCCCTGTCATAGTTAATAGTCTCGTTTTGCAGTATTCATTTCCAACAGATCCATTTAAACTTGTGTGCAATGAGCCTTTTGGTGTCTTACCTATAAAGAGTCATAATATTCCTTCATTATTTTCTCACATAGGTAACCCCACTTTGGAATATACAGTCTCCCTCTTTAGATGTGAATTAGGTCATCCCCGAGTAAAAATTACAAGTCTTCCTTTACTTGATTAGCTCCTTTGGACTGTTGCTTTTCTCATGCCTTTCTTGATCCTCTCCAAGATAGGAAAGTTTAGTTGTGTAAGATTAATGAATTCAACCTTACGATTTAATGCATTTGTCACAAAGTTTTGGCTTAAGGATATTTTTTTCTTGTCTGGTTTGGACTTCACCTTGAAGTCATTCAATTAAAAAAAGAGAAAATAACCTCAGTGACCAAAAATCTCAGATAATATATGATTTTGACTAACTATTTTTGGATTTGCGAAAATGACCAACAAAATCGCAATGCGATCTCTAATTCGCATTGCGATCTCCACTATCGCAAATTCGCGTTGCATTTCGTGTTGCGATAGTTGAAAATCGCGTTGCGATTTTTCATTTCGCGTTGCGATAGTCTACAGTTGTCGTTGCGATTTTCCAAATTCGTTGTGATAGTTTAAAAAAAAATTTGTTTCTTAATAATTTTCTCTAAAAAGATAGTATCCGTGCGGACGTGTCGAAGACACGTATTACCACGACCACGACCACGACCACGAGACGGACGGCGGCGGCGGCGCGCGAGAGTTCCCCTTGTTCTCTATCACTCAACAAGAAAGTGGGAAAGCCAAGCCTTAAATACCATTCCCAATAGTGTTTCCAATACTATGTGGGATTTGAGCATTACCAACACTTGTTCCCAATACTATGGGGATCGAGCCTTAAATAGTGATATTATTTTTGAATGTTTTGCTTAAAATTGCAATAATCACGATTGATTGTAGATTGACTTTTAATTATGACATATTTAATCGTATAATACTAATGCAATTGGTTGTTGATTCAGTTTTTTTAAGGTGCATGATTGTTAATTGTTTCCTGAATAATCACATTGTATTAGAAACAAATGTTGGTAATGCTCAATCCCACATAGTATTGGAAACACTATTGAGAATGGTATTTAAGGCTTGGCTTTCCCACTTCCTTGTTGAGTGATAGAGAACAAGGGGGACTCTCGCGCACCGCCGCCGCCGTCCGTCTCGTCTCGTCTCAGGTCGTGGTCGTGGTCGTGGTCACGTGTGGTCGTGGTAATACGTGTATTAGACACGTCCGCGCGAATACTATTTTTTTAGAGAAAATTCTTAAGAAACAAAATCTTTTTTTTTAACTATCACAACGAATTTTCGCAACGAATTTGGAAAATCGCAACGACAACTGTAGACTATCGCAACGCGAAGTGGAAAACCGCAACGCGAAGTGGAAAATCGCAACGCGATTTTCAACTATCGCAACGCGAAATGCAACGCGAATTTGCGATAGTGGAGATCGCAATGCGAATTAGAGATCGCATTGCGATTTGTTGGTCATTTTCGCAAATCCAAAAAAAATTGGTCAAAATCATACATTATCTAGGATTTTTGGTCACTGAGGTTATTTTCTCTTAAAAAAATCTTGTCATCTTGCTTGCCTCGAAAACCCATTACCGACCAGAAGACCTGGATGAGCAAAGCTTTGGAGGAATCAAAGAGGGAGTTTGAAAACAATAATTACGTCCTTAATCTCCTAAAACCTTAAATTTCAATACCCAGATATCTAAATTTTTAAATTTCAAGACCTGAATCTAAATTTTAATCAAATCTATCTTTTCAAGTTTCATCGACGTTGCATGTCGTCATGTGACCTGTCACATCTATATTATTCTCCCCCTTTAATTTATACCATGACCATTACTAATTGAACTTTATTTTGCCTTCACTTAGGAAATATCATAACATTCACTAAGATACGATTAGAGATTTAGAAATTTTAGGGATTAGGACAATGACGAGTGGGCCACAATGGGTGGACGGTCGTTTAGTGACGACAGCGGCAATGATGATTTATAGTAATAAGGGTTTAGAATTAAATTTTTTAGGGGCTTGAATTTTTTTTAAATAGAGAAATTTGATGTTTTTTAAATAAATTTTTAAATAATTTTTGGTTTAAATTATAACCACGATATGTGTCACTTGATGATTTTTTTAACAGTAGTGACGAATATAACTCTTAAAATGATAAGGAAAAAATGTTCAATATCGATCTTAACCAAAAGACTAAGAATCTAAAATGAATAAAAAATAATTTAAACACTATTTTTTTTGTTAAATGATTAAAATTAAATTAATTTTTAACAATAAATATCTACTAAGGACAACACAGAAGATGAGAGTGGAAGTACAAAATATTATCGAATTTAAAGATTTTGGGACTAATACCAGAATGTCTTATTCACAGAAGAATCTAACTGCCTATCGACAACGACATCTTCGATCCAGTTACAAACTAAATCTTCTATTGACTCTTAAAAAAAATAGAACAGGTAAGTTATGTAATCCAAAACCTTTAAGTGACCCAGATCAAAATGAATTACTATTAACTTGGAGGTAATATATATAAATTTTAATATTTTAAAGGGTAAACTATATCAATTACCACCATTGATCTTTTAATTTTGTCAATCAGACCAACTAATTATTTAATTGTTGTTAATTAAGCCACTGATCGTTAACGGTTGACGGAAATGTTGACATATCAGTTAAAAGAATTGGCATAATTGTACATTTAGTCCTTAATATTTATATGTTCTCTCAATTTGGTACTAATTTAAATTTAATTTAATAAATTAATCATTCAATCAGGATCTGACATGTATCAGCATAGATCATGACATGTGTCGTTAGTGGCACGTGACAATACATGATTGGATGATGTATTTTTTTATTAATTTTAATCTATTTAGTTAAATAATTTTTTATCCAATCAAGAGGTGACACTAATGACGCGTGTCATAATCATGCACTCACACATGTTAGATCTTGATTGAATGGTTAATTTATTAAATTAAATTTAAATTAGGACCAAATTGGGAGAATGTACAAGAATTAAGGACTAGATATATAATTATGCTAATTCTTTTAACTGTCATGTCAGCATTTCCATTAACTGTTAGTAGCTTAATTGACAACAATTAATTTATTAGGTGGTTTTATTGATAAAATTGAAAGATTGATGGCAAAAGTAAAAGGACTAAATAGTTAGGTGGTTAATGGTATAGTTTACCCCCATTTTAAAACACAAAATCAATAGATTAGTAAAATACAACGTAATGAACCCATTAAAAGGTAACTGAAGTGAATATCGTTAAACGGTCAACTCCACTGTTTCAATTTTAAAACTTTTTAGGACCCCTACTGTTCCTTACGCCGCCATTGTGCTATCTATAAAAGACTACACAAGCGCAAGTTTAGCTTTAATGCTTTATTCTCAAGTTTAGTTTCAAACCTTTCAATGGAGTATAAAGTTGTATCTCATCAATCTCTCCCTCTGCAATTCACACCGCACCACCGTCAAATACCTCCGGCTTCCATCCGCATTGTCTTAACCATTAACGTCGGCTACATCACCGCCGCCGCCGCCCACCCTTTCTTCTCGCAACGAACCCTCTGTTTCCGTTTGAACCTTCTGCAAAGCCCCCGCCACCTTAATGAGGTTCTTGCTCCGAAGCTTGCAGAACTCGGAGTGGACACTTCCTCCGCTGATTATGAAGGTGTCCTTCAAGATATTATCCAATGTGGGCTTGTAACTGTGCGTGGAATGTTGGACGTGGGATATTACTGCCAGCCCTGCAATTACAATCCGATATGCTTGTGGCAATGGAACCCACGACCGACCAGGAGACATTGATGACCAGAGCTTTGGCGGAATCGAGAATGGAATTCGAAAACAGTACCTATGGGATGGTAGGAGCGACAGAGTCGTCTGTTAAAATGATGGTGAAAAGGGTCAAAGTAGAAGATGGGGAGAAAGGAGATTGCATGGTTTGCTTAGAGGAACTCAGAGTTGGATTTGAAGCATTCCAGATGCCATGTTCTCATCTCTTTCATGGCGGTTGCATCGAAAGATGGTTGAAGCAGAGCCATTATTGCCCTATTTGTCGGTTTGAGATGCCCACCAATTAGATGGGTTCTGTTTTGTTCATTTGTTTCTTGTAAAACTCGTACTTGTTTGTAAGTTGGTTTCATTATTTTACCCAGAAAAAGGTTGTAATATGATTAGACAGAAGATATTCATTGAATCATTGCCGGTTACGTTAAAGATGAAACTTAAAACCCAAGAAAAAAATATTAAACTATCCGTTGATGAGATTTTTTTTAATTAATTTGGGACAAATACAAAAAGTATATGTGTAAATATAACTCTCAACCATTAACATTAAAGCTTAACATTATTGACATTCGAATCCGAAATTTTAAAGAATAACAACATAATTTACCGATCATAAACTTGTATGAATTAATGATTATAATATATTATCCGGTTAAATGTATAGATTTGAGTAAAGTTTCAGTGGATTTAGTGAATAATTCACTTGACTTAAAAATATCATATTGTTTGTCCTTCTGTTTCACTTGACATATTCGAAGCAGTTTGAGATGCCCACCAATCAGATGGATTACAATTCTTTGTGTTTCTGTTTTGTTGATTTGTTTCTTGTAGAACTCGTGCTTGTTTATAAGTTGGTTTCGTTATTTTACCGAGAAAAAGGGTAGTAATATGATTGAATAGAAAGTTGAAGATGAAACTTAAATCCCAAGAAAGAAATATTAAAATATCTCTGATCATGAACTGGAATTTTATTTATGAATAATTTCAAACAAGCTAAAAATTTGCATAAAAGTAAAGGAAAAATGTTTCCAATTTAACAAAGCTAAGTTAGAATTGCCCTAACGTTGAAAGCTTTACATCAAAGCTTCTCAGTTAGTTTGACCATGAAGGAATTAACAACGCCTGTATCCAGCACAATCCATGAAGACTCGAACAGTTCGTGGAAGAATTCAGCTCCAGTTTCCTCGGCTGCATTCCTGAATGCAAGGCCGAACGCATTCCCTTTAAGTGCTCCGAGACGAGGCTTCCCACAGACCCCAACAATCAACACCTTGGATGGCTCTTGCAATATGCAGGCACAAAGCAAAGGTTTCAGCTTTGCTCCCTTCTCCTTCAAGGCATCCATTAGGAAGTAACAGAACTTAGTCAGAGCCTGGGGGTGACCCAACAGCTTTGTGTCTACTGAATCTTCGAGCTTCACCCACCTAAACTTTCTCCCACTCCTGATGCACCCACTCTTTGTTATGAAGCACTCCCTTGCCTAAGAATAGCTCTTTGTATCTTGATTGCTTGTTGCATTCCAGATTTCAGCTTATCAAGATTACTTGGGGACAGTGCATCATATGCCATCCCAAACTGCTTCGAAGCACACATGCCATCCGACTGCATGAATGATTCAAGCATCGCAGTAACCCCATATACCATATCTGCTGCTGAAACCCTTGAAGTATAACCATGTAAACGCAAGAAACTTTTGTAGTAGAAATCATCAAGTCCGTATTCAGGCAAAATTTGTTCAAATTGATCTTTCATCTTCTGTTTTACTTCATGATTCATGTACTGGAACTTCTGCTGGCAATCTACAAGTGCAAATCCCATCCTTGCAAGAAGAAGCTTAAGCTTCTTCATACCATTATCACTCCAGGTCTTCAACTTAGGGGCAATGTATGAGGAGCACAGCATTGAATCAAATAAATTCCACTCTCTTAGCAACATAAGCTTTGGCTCATCTTCATAGGCAATTCTTGAGGAATCAGGTGCTCGAACCTTGGTACCATCTTTAAGAGTTACCGAAGTAACAGCATCGAGATTCCCTAAACTGTTAATATGCTGCTGAAGCTCCATAACCCCAGCTTCATACCTCTCATCAGTTAGTCTCTCGTGAACAAACTGATCGGTAAGTGAAACACAAGCCAGCCAAAGCAACTCATTCGTGTTTTTCCTCAAAGAATGTGACAAATCATACATCAAACACCCTGATGGCTTGCCATGGAAAGTTCCCATCCGATAATAATCCCTTTTCAGTTTCTTAAAACGCCGTGACGCTGGTTCTTCACCTTCTAAAGATGATCTTCTTCTTTTCCTAGAACCATCCCTGACTCTCCCTTCCTCCTCTTCCTCCTCATCTTCATCCTCGCTTTTGCTATCTTCATCTTCTTCACTATCCAACTCTGAATTATGCAAAGAATAGCTAGCATTTGCCAACTCCTTAACCTCAAAATCATAGGCCAGATCAGCCAACCGTTCATCGTCATTAGTATAAAGAACAACCACCTGATCATTCTGGTCACTCAAGTTATGCAAATGAATCGGCCTATGACTATCTATGACAAAAACTCTAGCAGCTGACCCTAGCTTAAGATCCTCTTGGAGGTCACGGTGGCACCCCCAGTTTATCAAAAGCATGGTAACGGGTTCATCGGAGGAAGAACTCAATTCAGATGCAGCATATTCTCGGATTTCTTGAAAAGAAGACACCGGATAACACGAGTACCGGACTGAATCAGATTCAAGAATATGGAAAATGATTTTGAGAGCACATAGAGAGTCGACATCGGAGGTGGACGGGAATATAAGTAAAGGCGAGAGAGAAGAAGCCCTAGCTGACTCCCTAAGCCTCGTGTAAAATGACTCCACTCTTTCTTCCCTCACCATTTTCTTCTGTTCTCCTCGATACGACGCTCAAATGTGATGGAAAATTGGAAACTTTTCTCTGGAAAGTATAAAAAAATCTCTCACTTTTCTTCACGCTATTTCACTAGATTGCATCCTAAGAAGAACCTCGTACTCTGATTCCATTCATATCAAGCCTAATTGAGCATAAAAAAATTCATAAAATCGGAGCAATCCTAAACAAACAATAAATAAAAACCAGATCATACATGGGCGATATAATAAAATACAGAAGAACAGCGTTGACTTGAAAGAGAACTGAAAGTAAATACAGTTTCAAGTACCTGAGATTGAAGAAGGAAAAAGGAAGTGAAATTTTCTCAGCGCCTTTGTTTGCTTATTTTGAAATCCAGATCTGAGAGCAAAATAAAAGACGGGGAGCGCTGTCTTTGTTTAGCTGTGAGTGATTTTCATTTTTTTTATTTTATTTTTTGAATTTTAGGGGCTTTTCACTGAAATTTCGAATTGTTTTGACCGACCGCGAAGTTTTGGCGCTCTTTGAGTTTCACCGACGCCGACGGATTTACTTCTTTAAAATAGATCAACGGTCAAGGTTAAATCGCCTTTTGGCGTGGGGATGAAATTAAAAAGGGTTATTTTTATTAATTGTCCCAAATTTATTGTACGAATTTTGAATTGGGCATAAACTTCATCGTTAAATCAATCAAGTTCTTCTACTAGTTTAATTGTTAATTTAAGGCTGATGCCACTTCGGTCATATTAGAGGTGTAACATATTTAAAATATGAAGATTAAATTGTAAATTAGTATAAATTTGTTATAATGATAATTTGGATCTTATCATATGTGTTTAAAATATAAAAATGTAAGTAGGAATTATTTATTTTTAATACGTCAAATTTAAAGTATATGCCGATTGTGCTTTAAAATATTATTCATAATTTAGTGATTAAGTGAATATTTTGAATTAATTAATACTTAAGATAGATTTAATTTTTTTATCACAAGTGAACTTCCTTGATTTTTAACTATTTATTTAATAAAAAAAATGACTCTAGTGACACGATAGAAAAAATAGCAGTTTGAATTGTTCAAAAGAGCCATTAAGACCGATGCATGAATGAAGTAAAAATATAAAATGAAACCGATGCATGATTTTAATGTGACAAATAATACATTTGGTAACACATATGGTTCTGAAAATTGGAATGTCTGAAAATAATTAAAAGATTCTAACGCTATTGACGGCTCAAACACCTAAACTGTTAACGTTTGTAACGTTAAATACCCGGATAAACTAAAGAAAATATAGGCACTTATTTTACATTAAACCATTCTCTTTTAACTTAAAATATTGTCTTTTTGCATGTTCCTTTTTTGCCTAAAAAGCAAGCCCATTAGCAGACCACACACCACTAATCCCAAGCTTAGTCCCTTAATTTCCAAAGATAAATCCCCACTTCACTGAAATGGGGGGGGTTTTCGAGTTTTAGTTTAGAAACTAAAAAACCAGCTACCATAACCAAAGATTCCGCTAGTTTCTTACTGAATTTCCCATTTCCCCCCTTTTATCTGATGAAATATCGATAACCATTGTGTCAAAATCAAGTCTTTTAGGATGATTCAGCTATTGTTCTTTGTTCTTTTTGCTGAAGGAGCAATGGCGTTCCTTCTATTGGTAAAGATTGGGCCTTTAAGAGAGCTCGTCATAAAGAGCTTAGATCAATTAAAGACGGGGAAAGGTCCTGCTACTGTGAAAACGATTGCAGGTACAATGTTTGTGATTCTTTTGTCGAGTCTCATGAGCATTGTCAAGATCCAGAACAAGGGTGCGAAGCTTGGAACCATGTCACCTATGGATCAGGTTCTATGGAGAACCCACTTGCTTGAAGCTTCACTCATTGGTATGATTCTGCTCTTTTTTATGCCTCATTTGGTTTATGCATTCTCTGTTAGTAACTTAGAATCTTTTGCTCGACTGTTAAATTATTGCCTTTGTTTTAAGCCTCCTACAAAGTACAATGTTGTTTGGTGACTCTGGTTTTAAGGTAGATGTTGAAACTATGAGAGAAAACTTTGCAGCCGTTAATAGGTCGTCGAATAGTTCGTCTTTCAGCATTGGGAAATTACATACATTATGTATCAGAGAAAGCAACGGTAATATATTAACATATCATGAAATCTGGTGCATAAGCTATACAGTCTTATTGCCTGTTTACCTATATCGAGTTGTTAAGTCGATTTCTGCCTAAGGACATTAGGAGAGCTTTAATATTTTAATGAGATTCTTTTGTTGTCAATGGGTCTTAAGGGAGAGCAATAATATTCGTTCTAGTTATTAATACATCATCACTTGGTGTTCGAGCAGTAATATATGTAGCCTTTTGAAACTTGCGATCGAAGATGGCCTATTTGTTTGATAAATCATTAGAGCATTTTGG